GAGGGAGATTTAATAAGTGACAGTGAAGAAGAGATAGAAGAGGATGATGAAGATGAAGATGATGAGAAAACAGGCTTGCGTATAAGTATATCCTCAATTCCTCGAAATACGGGAATATTGTCCTCAATGACACCTTTTGTGAACCAAACAGCTATTTCGCACCAGCAAGCTCCATCTCCTCAAATATCAGGCGCTCAAGAGATTCAGAACTGGCTGTTTTGGATTTTGAGAGGTCCAGCTCTTTGTACAATTCCTTCAAGATTTCTTTCGACAGGAAATCCAACCATCTCTAAGCACAAGATCGAATTAATGTTGCCAATAATGCAAGAGCTTGTGCTATTTACTACTGGGCTGAAACATAGCTATAGAGAGCATGTCTCCGACCTCGGCGAGATATTGGATTCAACTTTGTTAAGTGCTTTTCCAGGTTCCTCCAAGATGAGACTCTACGAGTTACTGGAGTGTGATCGGCCAAACTCAGAAATGAGACTATTTGACAGTCTCTTTGGAAGCGAGAAAGAAATATACAAGCTGGAAGCTCCAAGGATTGAGTTTGATGATCCTAGCTTTGCCACAACATCTCCATTGATGAACATAACAGAAACCGAAAATAAGAGACACTCAGGCATATTCAAGGAAAACGCAAACCGAGCTATTGCCGAAAGTGTAAAGTCTACTTCTTTGTTCAAAATCCCAACTACAATCTTTAACACAAAACGGAACGGCCAAGACCTAAAAATTAATGAGACAAGCATGCGATATTGGAAACTGCTAGATCTTGAGCCGCTTGAAGGCCAAAAAAATGTGAGAGTCATCTTAGTTATACCAAAAGGTACGTCATATTTGTTGGAAAAAAGTCGAAGTTTCTTACAGGACCTAATGGCTACTTACTCATCTTGGAATTTAGGACGAATGAGTCAGTTACAAGATCTTTTGGAGATTCCAGGCGGGAATTATGAGCTTTTTCTCCAAAATGCAGAGGCAGCCCTTACCTCTCTTGCAGATTCGTTACGAAATCAATATTTGGTGGACTCAAATGGTCAAAAGGATGCTATTTTGATTATGATTGCAGTTCCCAACATTGGCATGCAGCTTCTCACCAGTCTGGCAAGCATACTCGAACAATTTCAAAGCACATTGACAATGAAAGCTGTTGACCAAGAAACAGAAGAAGATGGGAGAAAACGCAGAAAGAGAAATATTTCAACCATTGTTAACATCCCTATTTTCTCTTTTTATAAGGTGATTCCGCTTGATCTTTACCTTTCCAAAAACGAGAGCTATTCGGTTGTGACTTCTCAGAAACTGGGAGATTTGGCTTTGGAAATCTATTCATTGTATCCTAACAAAGATGTCTCCGAGCCTTTTAAAGACAGAGATCGATTGTTGACAATCTCCAAGCCGCTACCTCAGAAAATACCTTTTGCGATGACGAAAGCACCAATATCATCGGGCCTGATTGAGGATGACTTATTCTTACATGTTTGTTACGAACGGTCCATTGACAAAAATTGGTGCGTAGCTAGCTGGTCTGACCAGTACGGCGAAATCAACTTTACTCGCTCCTGGCTGATAAGTTCGGACTGCCGATGTCAAACTTTCGAAGAGGTTTCTGATGAGATTTTCAGCATTTCGCTGGACTATGTTTCAAGTCATAATGGCAAGTCCTACGTGATCTTGACTAGACTCAACAATGTGATTCCCGATGATGAACTGACAGAGTGGAAGCGTCTTTCGATCAAGAATAACAAGCTCACACTTATTGTCTTAACTGTAGAGCTGGAACCTTCCACGCTCGTTTTGTCTCATCTTCAGGAGCAAAAGGATGATTTGAAGGACATGTATTCTGTGAAATTTACAGCAGCGTCCACGAATTCGCAAATGCTTACTCCAAGCGTGGCCAATCGCTTGGAAAGCCCAATGAACGGGCCTACGCCTTCATACGATCCAGGTACATCTCCCTTAGACACTTGTGCCTTTACGGGGTCTCAGCAACAGGTTCCCGAAAATCCTGAGCTGATAGAATTATCGAATCAGTGTTACGGAGTGATTTTGCAGGTGGCGCAACAATTATCAAACCAATCCATTCGCATGCCGTTACGCACTGGATTTATTGTCAATTCTGGTAGTAGAACGGCTGAAGGCTACGAACCAGGGTCAATAATCGAGTTAAATTTGCTCAGCTGCCAAGCGGGGGTCAATTCCATCGAGCTGCTGAAAGATCTGATTATGCAGTATAAGCATCTGGCGAGCCTCAACAAAAATTCTGTCTGCCCTTGGCATGTATCTGCAGTCAGACGGATGATTGATTTTTTGGTTCATTTGGACGTTAAATGAGTATTACATTAATTTGATTCTATAGATATCCTGTAGTCTTGTCAAAAACAAGCTCCCATCGAGATATTTTTCTGTCTCTGCCTTGGTGACAGCATTCCTGAGCTTGCATTCTTTATATACTTCTTCAAGGCTTCGTCGTCGGTTGTCATCCATCACTCCCAGAGCGTACAATATTTTTGTGGCCGTGTCTTTCTTTCTCTGCTGTGGTAAGTTATACCAGTTATTTTTCACCCATAATGACAACTGGAAATTTATCAGGAGGTTCATCAGCTCAAGACGAGAACGATGAACCAACAATCTATTGGGTGTGCTATGTTTCACAAAGTCTGGTTCTGCCGTAAGTATGAAACTCAAAAATGAATCATCGACCGAGGCAGAACTGAAAAACCAAGAGTAGGGTTCGGCGTAATCCACATCGTCGTGCGTAATCTGTTCCATAAGACTGATGCTAACAACCAATAGCATCTCATCTTGCGCAGGATTACAAGTTGCAAAGAATTCAAGTACATCAGCATTGGTCCGTAAAATTAATCTCTCTCCCACATCCACCGCGAAGTCTTCAACCAGCTTCTCGGATTGATTTTGGGACAATTGCTTGAGAACGCAGTAGCATAAACAAAGTAGAGAGCGCCTAAGTGGTATCGAATCTGACGGCTCACCTTCATGCTTGGTTTCGGCAGGTATCACTGCTGTTTTGAGAAGTCTCAATTCATTGACAAATATGGGAGCAGAAAAAGAATCCTTTGAGGTGAAAGCTATGTCTATTAACTCGTTTAAAGCAGCCTTCATGGTATGTTCATTCAACGCAAACATTGCTTGGTAGATGAGCGTTGATTTAATGTTTTCGAGTCGTCCATTTGAGTCACCAGAGTATTCTTGCCGCCCGAAGTCGTACCAATAAAAGTCTAGGAATAAATGCAGCAGATTTTTCCAAATTCTCCAGCTAACAAAGTAAGGCTTTTCATCCTGGCGATCCGCACACTTGAAACCCCATCGAAAAAACTCCCACGAGCTGAGGTGCACCTTGTTAAAATTCTTATTAGTCAATAGTTGGTCTTTAAGTTTATCTTCATCGGTGCTGAGGCCATATAACGTAGCTGCATTCTTGTTTGGAAGAGGATCAAAACGAGAATGATTACTCAAATCTTCTGCTCTGCGGCGTGCAGAACGCGTCAGAGTGGCATCATTATAAGTGAGAAATTCAAAAAGCTGGTAAAGTAACGCTCGCAGATTATCATATGCCTCTGCAGACGGCAGTTCAGGACCAAAAAAAGCATCAACCGGTCGCGAATCCAACCGAAGAATATCCATCAGCTGCCTAATTAAATCCAAGCAACGTAAATGTAAGGGTCTTTTTGAGCTTCCATCATCTAAATATCGCAAATCCGGAGTCGTTTGGGGAGGAAGAGTTGTTGCAGTAAGAATCAAGTTCAAAATGTGGTAGTCGGGTAGGTTCAAATTTGGCAAGTCAGCTAGAATGGTGGTCTCTAGGTACGTAACCAACTTACTGAAACTTGCATATCTCAGCAAGCTACGCTGGTGTTCCAGTTCCGCTGACATCCAAGTTGACGGTGGTCTTTTAAAAATATGTTTATACGGCTGTGCAAGGTCCATTTATTCGATATCCGTACAAAATTTACACACTCTATCAACAGTCCATGCCACAGCACCCGGAGCAGACCCAGGGCCTATGTTGTGGAGTGCACCAGGGATTAGACCAGAATATGGAGACCAGAATTTATCAGGAGTCGCTAACTGCCATTGATTCATCAAGGCTTGCTTATCGACATAATCTGGGTAAAACTGGTCTTTCTCAGAGTTGATAACCATGATTGGCCGTGAAACTTCTCCAAAGGTTTTCTTATTATCCTCCAAGGTGAGGTCAGAAGAGAAGAAATCGTCGTCACCTAATTTTGTTGCGAGAGAAAGCCATCTGTAGGCACTGATAGGAGCTCCCAAGAAAAGATCTGAGTATTTTTTGGGAAGAAGCTCATCTTTCTGGCCATTGTTCACATAATTGCGTGCCAGAACATTCAGCTCCTCTAGTTCTTCCCAGCCTTTCCCTTGCTTTTGAAGTTCGTGGAAGATTGCCTCTCTGTCCGAGACGGCAGCCTGCAAAATTCCACCTTCCACTTGTTTTGCAGGTTCCTTGGGGCAGTATTTAGCAAGATATTGAATCGTATCCTGACATCCTGTCGAATGGCCCATGAGAACAACCTTTTCTCTGGAACCCCCTCTTTCGGACCGAAGATACTCAACAAGCAGACCGATTTCATACGCGTCCCTTTCTAGGGATCCAGTTCCCCATCCCATGTACGAGGATGTGAAGTGAATCTGAACAAGAGTCCATCCAATCTTGTCTAAGCCGGCAGACAAGTCTGGGAGGTAAGGCACAGTCAGCAGGCCATCAGTTAAGCCACCAATGAAAAGTACAACCTTCCTTGACTGAAGCTCCTTATTTTTGAACTCAAAAGCAGTCAATCTTGGAGCATACTCATGTACAAATCCTTCAACAGGATTGTGAATGGTGATGGTTTCGTGATCCATGAGGAAAAGAAGAGGTTTTATAAAAAAGTCAACTAAATTGTCCCTGCGAAATATTATCTGCGATAAGGATATTGCACCTTTACACCAAGCCTATTGATTATTATATCTTACAGAAACTATAAACTGTCATCAGTAAGGAACCTAACCATTGCTCTTCCAAGAACACCACCATCGTTGGGCAGACTTTTGTTCCGACTCATACAGTCAGCGTAGTATGCTTGAGAGCAGTCTTTCTTTATCCAGGACTGTACAATGAAATCGCTGATGTCTGTTCCGTATTCGGGATGGCCTTGAATTGTAAGAAAACGACCCTTGCGGTAGACTCCTTGATTGTGGGTTTTACTGGAAGAACCCAAAACAATAACATCAGGTGGTGCTGATTGCACCCAGTTCTTATGTGCTTCCACAATATGGAGCTTCCTTGGAGGAGGTAAATCCAAAATAGTACGCGGAAAGTCATCGGAGATTTCAATTTCGCATATGCCACCTTCAATACCATTGGGATTTGGGGTCACCACTCCACCCGTAGCTCTACAGATGATCTGGTGGCCAAAACATGCACCGGTTAATTTTATTGAAGGGTACTCCTCCACGATATTTTTCACTAGAGCAACCACTTCAAGCACCCAAGGCTCGTCTCCATAAGGACACTGATTGGCTCCCGTCAAGTGTACTGACGCAAATTTATCTAATTCAGAAGTGGAAGGAAGATCACCGTAAACCGCGTGGTACTTCTTTGTTGGGCGATTAAGACCGTGTTTAGTGAAAAATATACAGGCAATATCCCCATAGTCTCCACGATCTAACTGACGCTGGTTTTGAATGTCACAATTAATGACGGCGTGAAATAGCACTGTTTTTGTCATAAGCTAGTTTCGCCAAGATTTCACAATAATGAATATATACCTTTTTAAGATTGCATTATTTTTTGATCAGTGAGCCACAGATAAGAAAGAAATTCATTGATAAAAATTTCCTTCAGCTGCTTTGACCTGGTCACAATTTCTCTTTCAAAGTCGTGGCCATGAGCCATTGTTTTTCGCACTCCTCGAATATGTTGTAGCCAAACAGGTACTCCTGAAACTCAGGGTCTGCCCACCTAGCGGGGCATCCTTCCTGCGGAGGATCTAATGCACATTCTAGGTCTCTCAATTTCTGTTTTTCTCCATCCTGGAGATGGTAAATTTGTTGACAGTCTTTTGAGGAGTTGACAATGCGGGTGGTTCTTGGTTTCCTGATGTATTCGTACATCTCTAACAAAAAATGAATCTCAGATTTGTGTTTGATTTTTCCAAATAGGTACGCTAAGGCAGCGGCATCTTCTATAGCTTGAGCTGCTCCTTGAGCCAGATAAGGCAAAGTCGCATGGCAAGCGTCTCCCAGAAGAGTTACATTTTGAGTAGGATGGCTCCAGAAATCTAGCTCCTCGATATATTGAAGTCTCCACTTGAAAGTTGAGGTTGCAAGGCTCAAAAGGAGCTGCAATCGGGAGTCCCAAGATTTCAAAAATTGCAAGACCTCATGTTTGTCTGCAGCAGCAACTCTTGAATCTGGTGGGAGGTTGTCGGGCCCCATTACAACGACGTTGCAGCTGTTGCCACCCTTCAAGGGGTAAGTCACCACGTGCCCTTGGGGCCCCCAGAAAAAGTTGACACATGGTAACTTGTGGATGAAATCCAGTTCGGGATGCTTTGCCATCTCAGGAATCGATATCAAAGAGCGATAAGCTTGATCTCCACTATTTGTTGCCAAGATCTCTTTTCCAAATATAGAGCTGCGAACACTCGAGTTCAAACCGTCTGCCCCTATAATCACGTCTCCGTGATATTTCTGGCCATCGTGGGTTATTGCAATGTTGTGAACCAGGTCAATTTCCACAATGCCAGAGTTCACAAGAATTGTAATTCCCAGTTCTCTGGCTCTTTGAACAAGGCATTTGTGATAATCTCCTCTGTGTATATGTAAAGATTTGCAACCATACTTGCGAGCACAATAGGGGTCAAGCTCTATACTGATAAGATTGTCTCCTTTGTAGTTGAAGAAATGGTATGCCTTTGGTACCAGAGCTTTCTCTAATATATGTGCTTTGCATCCAAGTATCTCGAGTATTCTGGTAGAATTGGGCGGGATCTGGATACCAGCACCGACCTCCGATAATTGTTGTGCTTTTTCTAAAACAATTACTTCATGCCCAGCCAGAATGAGTCCGATTGCTACCGACAAGCCCCCTATTCCACCCCCTACCACAACAAACCTGAGACTGATATTACTCTTCGGAATCATATTATAGTTCTCTGAATTTAAATATATGTTTTACCCTCGCTTTATCTGCTACCAAAAGTCAGAATGCAGAATATTTCAAAGCAGCTTGGAAACTTCTGGATGCTTTGAAATTTCAGACTTGAAATCCGGCCTTGGAATGTCGAATCCTTGCAACACTCTAGAATACACGTTTCCTCCAAGACGAGCAACTGGCTTCAATTTGCTGATGTCCACTGTAGTAAATTTCTCATCTGCAATGTCTTCGCGAATGTGGAAATTGACTCCTTCCACTAAAAGAGTTGTTCCGGAACCCTTCGAAGGGTCTTTCTTTGACTTGAAATAGTGTGTGTGAATCAGTTTACCTTCAATAGAGAAAGCGCTTTCAGCAACATGAGGCGGTTTGACTTTAGAAGATTCGACAGGAGTAAGACCTGCCAGCTTCCACTCATCAACCTCGTAAGGTGCATTAATACATGTATAATTGGCCGCTTCAATGAACCACTCGCTGACCAGATTGATAGTACATTCTTCTGTGTCTTGCAGGTTTTTGCAAGTATCTTTCAGATTTCCCGTAGCGCCCGAGATACCAATTGTAAAAACAGGCGGATCGTGGTTCACAATAGTGAAATACGAAAAGGGGGAAAGATTTCTTGTGCCATCTTTTCCAACTGTTGATATGAAACCGATTGGACGAGGTGTGATAGCGCTCACAAGTAGCTTATAATTTTCAAAAGGCAGACGGCCCTCAGCATACGGATCCAATTCGACCTTCTTATATTTTGCCCAATCGTTATTGGTTGCTCCAGATCCTGGTTGCCAGTGGGGATCTGGAACACTGGTCATTTCAAAGTCGGCATTTTCAAAGGGAGGAAGACTCATTGGATAATTTAATAACCAAAAAAACTGTTTTACTTGTTCAAGATTTGAAAACCCAAAGAAATCTTATCAATATAATACGGATTATTTACAGCCACAATTTGAATCCGGTGCCGTGCCACATTTTTCCACTAGCGAATCCAGATATGGAGAATCCACAGTGCTCATCCTCTCGATTGATAGCTTGAATGGTGCTGGGATCCTTGTAGTGGTCTTCTTTCCCAATATCAGCTCGCTTAGGTACTTTGAGCAGCTGAAAATACGTGGCATACCATGTCCAGTAAAACCTGCAGATATGAACATATTTGGGCGTCCGTACGCCGTTAAATCACCAACAAATGGAAACCCATCTTCTGTAAAACCCATACACCCAGTCCAAGTGTAGTCATTGACAAATTCAACGTCTGCTAAAGACTTGTAGTTCCGATTAGCATATCCAACAAAGTATTGCTTAGTATCTTCCGGAAAGTAACAGTCATCTGCGTTGTCGACCATCATTTCGCGGTTAGGTGAGGTTTTGTATGTTTTTCCACCGCCTCCGATTATCAACGAGTCATCATCTCGAACGCTTATGTAGTCGATCTCAACTGGCATAGTGTGAATCATGTTAGTTGCAAGAGTTTTGTTTGACTCTGTCTTGAGATGCGAGACAACACCTTTAACAGGCATAATTTTGCCCCAGAAGTCTGGTAAAAGAGCCCTTGTGTAAGCGTTGGTGGTAACAACAACTTTTCCAGCATGCACCGTTCCACGCGGCGTCTTTGCCAACCAGGTACTATCCTCCAGGAATTCCAGCTCCTCCACAGCAGTATTAGTTTGCAAGTTCAATCCCTTGGAAATTGCAATCTCGAGAAGACCACAAACTAGCTTGTACGGCCACACAGACGATGTAGGTGTGTAGACGCCAAATGCAGTGTTTACGTGCTCTTTTCTGGCTTGTTCATCAAAAACTATTTTCACTTGATCCTTGACTTTCTGATCAATGTAAGGGTTGTTTAAAAATGAGTAGTAATCTCTTAAGCCAAACTTTCCTAAAGAAGGATCATCGTAAGTCACGTAAGAGGTTCTTCTAACAAAATTGCAGTCAATATTATACTTTTCCACCAGTTTTTCAACAACATTGATCTCTTCATGCTCAAACATTGCAATGTCAGCAGCATTTTGCTGACCGTACTTTTCTGAGAATTCGTACTGATCGTGATGATAGTAGCTCCGCATGTGCCCTCCATTTCTTCCAGTAGCCCCAGAACAGACGTCACGAGCCTCTAATAATAGTACTTTTTGTTCTGTCTTTTCTTCAACTAGCATATTGAATGCTACCGAAGTTCCGCTAAAGCCAGATCCGATGATTAGCACATCAACCTCTTCTGGTAATTTCTCAGTTGTTCGATGTTTCGCAAGCTTGTCATCAGCCTCTGCAATCCAGTAAGAGAGAGTCGTTTCTTTAGACGGGAATGCCTGTTGTTTTCTAGCACTGTATTCCATGATTAATTACTTCGTTATGTTTTTGTCTTCGATCTTATCGACGAGTTACAAATTCAATTTCCGTTTCGGGAAATCTTATCTGCCGACACTAATATTATAATTAACAGCCAATCCAAGAAAAAATCCCAAATCATCTAATTTGTATAAACGGCAATAAAGAAATAGCAGAATATTTACAGACTGAGGGCACAGGACTCTTGAAAGTGGTTGTAAACACGTGTAAACTCCATGTGTCTTTAAACCCTCCAAAGCAATGAAAGGACAAGTGTTACTATGCTGAAGTTGAGCGTAGTCTGATAGAACGTTGATTGCCCCAAACATATCGCCCAGAGGGCAGACAGTAGTTAAAATAGCGCACCATTTGCTGTATCAAGAGATCCCTGCCTTAAAACCTTGTTTTTCAAGACAATAAAATCTACTTGAAAAGCGATCCGACATTTTTGGAGCGGCATGTTTTCTTTTCCTCCGTATTTTCTTGATCACTCTCTATTAGCTTTGTAAACAATCAGAGGACGAAATTTCTATATGAAGGCAAAAGCGCCTCTTCTCAGTGCGCAGTGGACTCTTTCTTGAAATTCCCTCATATCAAGTTGCGTTAAATGTCATGCTTCAGAGATAAAAAACAAGCTCCGCTGACTTCCAAGTTATCTCAAATACAAAGCTACAAGAAGCAGTAAATGAGACGATTGTCAAGTCCACTAAAATCTGCGTTTGCTAGGAGAGTTAACTGTTTCATTTGATTGCTGTCTATAGCTCAACCACGAAATCTTATTTACTTAGACATGCGGTCAAGTTGACTATTCGGTTTGGTGATATATTGGCGAATCCAAAATACTGTGTCAACTGGGGTAATATTCAGGGCTGGGTGATTGCCAACAGGAGGACATGAAACCTAAAGCCATTCCCTTTCACAGGATTTAGGAATTTATGGTGAGTTCGTATTCTTCTTTGAGAATTGGCTCTGAAACCAATATCTCGCGGTGTCCTTTTCGTTACAAGAAAAACTTTATCCTATGAATCACCTTTCATATTATCATGTAAAGGACCTGGCTGCTCGAATCGAGTGAGGACCCACCGGAGTTGAAACTTTTTTCAGTTCGGAGTTCACGCCCTTCATCATAAAATAGTGGAGACAAAACTTGCCTAATCGAATGAATCCCGAAGTACTACGTCGCTCTCGATGCACATATATGCAGAAGCTGTAGTTCAAAATTTCAGATATAATGCCGTTTTATCTTCCGCAGCAAGGATGTAGGGGAAAGGGGACATGCTTATCCATGGGGAGGGGAATAGCGTGGAAAGTATAGGACGGGTGGATGTGAGGTTAGGAGAAAGGTGGGAGCTGTGTGTAGTGCTAGTAGTGCTAGATGAGTGTGTAGGTCAGATAACAGATAATATGACAGTAAGCACGGTAAGCGATGAAGAGGTGAGTAGGGAGTAGGGAGTAGGGAGTAGAATTAAAAAGGAGGAAAAAATAAAGTTGGAGGGAGGGAAGGGGAGGGAAAAACAGAAAAGACAGGCAGGGAAAGGAGGGAGGGTTCCGGTTCCAGTGTGGTGGCGGGGTGGCGGGGTGGCGGGTGGCGGGTGGCGGGTGGCGGGTGGCGGGTGGCGGGTGGCGGGTGGCGGGTGGCGGGTGGCGGGTGGCGGGTGGCGGGTGGCGGGTGGCGGGTG